TTTTTTTTTTTTTTTTTTTTTTTTTTTTTTTTTTTTTGAGACAGGGTCTCACTGTGTAGCTGAGACTGATCTGGAACTCACTATGTAGCCCTGGCTGGTCTTGAACTCACAGCAATCCTCCTGCCTCAGCCTACCACTTGCTGGAATTACAGGGAGTGTATTATTTTCTAGCTTACTGTTAACTATTTTTAAAAAGTTCAACACCATATGCCATTCTAATGACTACTGTCTCTCATTACTGGATTTATTTTGGGGAGAGGATGGTTCTGGAAATAGAATATGTCCAGAGATCTTGGATTTCATCATGATTTGCACTGGTATAGATTTTTTTGAAAAATTGTGCTTTCAGGGCAGGTTTTCATATAGACCTAAGATTTTTATTATTACAGAAACTTACGTTTTTACTCCTTTTCATCATGACCTTTCCTTCAACTCTCCAGTGTGTCTTTCTAGAGTTTCTAGTGGTAGATCATTGCATTTCTTGAATAGATTTCCAAATTTCTTATTCCTTTTCTCACATGTCTTACTCATTTTGACTTTTGGTTCTTCTTTCTGGGCAGTTATTGCCCTTGATTTTAAATATTTCATTGCATTTTAAGCATACTCCTCACACCTTTTAGACTCTGTAGACTGCTCTATTGTTTTAGATGCTTACTGGCTTAGTTACTTTTTCATTGCTGGGACAAAATACCCAAATACCTGCAAGTTATGAGAGTAAAGGTTTGTTTTAGCTCATGTTTTGCAGAGGTCTCAGCCTGTAGTCAGCTGGTTTCATAGTAGTGTGGATGGAGAAGCGTGGCAGAGTAGAAACAGCTCATGGCATGATGGGCGGGAGACACCGTGAGCTCCTTCTGCTTTCTCTTTTATTCCTCCACACCGTTTTGCTGCTGCCACCCCCACCCTGGGTGAGTCTTCCCTCTTTGTAAAGTCTGTCATGCACGGCCAGAACTACGCTGAACTAAGCAGTGGCCTAAGCCAGCGTCACTCATTCACAGTACACTGTCACACACCCATGACACAATTACCCCACAAAGCCCCACACACAAACACCCAGATATCAGCCATAATATTCACTAAACATCATGGTTGCACAAATCAATCTAAAATTCTGGAGCAACATCTGAGCTGGTAGTGTTTCTTCTGAGGTTGTCCATTAGGTTGAATTTAAAGCCTGGAGGGTGGACAGAACCATTTAGGGACTGAATAAAGGCAGAAAATTGAAGTTCAAGGACATAGACTAAGGCATCTACTCTGGCTTATACCATATCTACATGTACCTCCCAATGCCTCATGTGCTCACAGCTGGGGCTTTTCAGAGGTGGCTGGATCTAAGGTGTTTGAATGCGGATTAAGGGTATGATGTGCTACTAAATTAGTCCACGGATTGGAATTAGCACAGTTCTGGCTGTGGCTGAATGGATTTGCTGAAGACAGAAGCCCAACCCTAGGTGTGGAAGGCACTACCCAAAAGGATTGTAGCCTGGGTGAGATAAAAAGGAAAAGCAAGCTTGCTGATTGTTGCTCACTGCTGGCTGCTTGCTGCCTCCTGCCTGCCTTATCATGGACTGTTTCTCTTCTGCAGTGCTCCTCTGCCATCCATCCTGCCTTGGAGACAGCCAACTATGGAGTGAAACCTCTACAATTTGAGCCAAAATAACCTTTTTTCCTTTAACTTTGGCTGTCAGGCATTTTGTCACAGCAATGAGTAAAGTGACTAAGACAGCATCTCAATGCTTAGAGGTCAGTTTAATGAGGAAGAACATAGACAAAACTTGACCAATGTGGGGGGTGCTCATATGTGTGGTGTCCTTTAAGTCAGGTGAAAAAGCAATTGCTGCCCATCCCATGGGTCTGATTATCTGTGACAGATGCCACAAATGAGATAAGCACTATGAATTGATTACTGGATATAGCAACATAGAGGTCATTGTATCATTGCTATGCATTTTTGAAACAGTGCTGTTTAAAACACTCGGGAAAAAAATCATGAGTTTGGAATGATCAGAAATGTGCAAGAGGAGGGGTGCTATAGCACAGGCTGCAGACAGTTCTTTGTACCGCGTGGTGGAACAGAAATGGAGCTGTGGTAACTGGAGATTTTCCTGGAAGATCAGGTGAACCAATACTTTCTGGAGAATGGAAATGCCCATCAGAACCTATTGAAACACAACAACTTCCCAGAATGAAGAAATATAAAAGGCAAGATAGAGCATACGTGTAAGGTAATGTGAAATTGTCATGAAAATACAATATTAAGTAACATAGCTCTACCTATACGCATAAGTTGATAAGTAGAAAATACATTTCAGTATCTTGTTTCTCATTAAATCCATCTATTACAAATCACTGCGTACATAATAATTCTGGAGACTGAAACTAAGGCCTCATGCATGGTAGGTATTTTGCCACTAAACCTCATGCCATCCCTAAACTTACAATTTTAAAGTTTACAGTGATGTGACAGTCATTCACACTCAGTAGAAACAGAACTTTGCATTTTGAATGTTGATCTTTTCCTGGGCTGTCTCTATGTGGTGTGACACATTGCTCCAATGCTGGGGAGTGGCAGTGAGCCGTAGCTCTGTCAGCCACACGATCTCAGGCGTAGGCAAGTGATACTCTGTTTGGTATTAAATACATTTCAACATGATGCTTTCAATTTATGATGGGTTTATAGGGTTGCAACACCATCCTACATTGAGGAGCATCTGTACCTCAACAGCCTCAAGGGCATTTTTTCCTGAACTTTTTTTTGAGAAATCCAAGATTAGGAAATTATAGAACGGCCTCTTGCTGTCTTTGTGAGAGCTTTCCTCGTTCTGCTGGCTGAAGTTTTCAGCCTCTAGTTGCTGAAGCCAGGCTGGAAATAATTTTTATTTCAACTAGTAATTGAAAAGAACAGCACAATATCAGCTTGCTTGGTAATTGTAATAACGTTCTGTGGGGCTGTCCCTAAGTAATGCAGGCATTGGTTTGCACAGGTATAACAAATTGTTACTAAGTCTTGGATGAAAAGTATCTCAAATAACAGTTTGTGAAACATCAGTGAGTGTGTACAAATAACAGATCATAATCACTCTGGCTATTGCTGACTGCCTGACAAATTCAACACGACCTTTTCCTTCATTTTTCTTTCTCAGGTGAATCCCTTATGTCCATGAAGGATTGCCTGTACTTACAATATCGTCAGTACAGACTGTTTCACATGGGGATTGTATTAGTTTCATAGAGCTGTGATAACAAAGAACCACAACACAGGTGGCTTACAACAAAGGAAGCATCATCTCACAGTTGTCAAGTGTCGACAGAGCTACGGTCCATCTGGAAACTGGAAAGGAGAATTCTTCCTGGCATCTTCGTGGCCTCTGGTCTTCATTGCCTGTGCTCTGTGGCACTCCTTGGCTTCAGCGGCCATACTTCAATCTCTGCCTCTGTTGTCACACGGAGTTGGAGAGGAGGATAAGAGTCTTTAACTATGAAGTGAGACTACCTGGAAAATAAAAAGACTTTCAAGAAAACCAATAGAACTTTTGTTTCTGGCTCTTGAAGCAACCATCATTCCTGGTTAAGATATGAAAACAATTATTTAAAAGATCAATGAGTTGGCAAGAGATGAAAGGATTCCATTTAAAGGCCAGGAAAGAAGTGAGCCACTGAAGGGAGCTACTGCAGCTGGATTTTACGTTCAGAAACTTTGTGAACTAATTAACATGAACTTTGTTTTTTTGTTTTTTTTTCAGTCTTGCATAACTCAGAAAAGGTGGCAACAAAATCAAAGTCTGCCCGTTTGAAGATATCTTTATCCTTCCATGAAAGCTAAGGTTTAAATGACTTTAGCGAAAAAGCTGGAAAAGCTGCCTCTCCTAATCATGGACTTAATACTCAACTCAACTCATTCAGCCACAGGTGCTAAAGGGAAGGTAAAGTAAAACTTTAGAGAACTTATAACTATGAACCAGTCCTCATATACATTTGAAGCTTAAATACACAGCACCCAGGTGGTCTACCGAACCTCAAACTGAGCGTTTAACTTAGAGTCATCTCAAAGAGTTGGTGTCCCTGAGACCAACGGGAAGAAGCACATGCAGATCTTTTCAGAACCCCATCACCATGCCAGTCCTCAATGATTTTCCATAATAAACCCTAAAACACTTGAGCAGCCTATAGTCAGTAATAACTAAAGACACCATAAGGAGAGACCAGTAGAAACAGACTGTCAAAGATTCAAGGACAGTAAAATGTCAGACACTATTATAACATACGGTTGATCTCACAAGAACTGCAAGATAAATCTGAAAATTTGTTTAGGAGATCAGGAACTACACCAAATAACCAAAGTATTTCAAGAAAAAAGAAAATACATTTCTAGAAATAAAAGAGATAATTGGAATAAAATTATCCTCAAGATATCCTAAGGAATTTGAAACCCAAAGGGAGAAAGACTTAGTAAACTGAAACACAAATCTAAAAACAATCCTCAGAATACAACACAAACAGGCCAAGAGGTAGAAAGTATGGAGGATAGATTAACCGGCACTGAGCTGGTGAGAAGCTGAACACTTACCTGACTAGAGTCCTAGAAGGAAAGGAGAGAACAGGGTATCCGAGGATAAATGGCAAGGGATTTTCCAGATCTGATGAAAGATTTCAGCATCTAGACTTAAGAACACAGCAAATCCAAAGTAGGATTAACATCGATCACACTAAGTGTGAGTAGACTACATATTCCAAAAACATTGAATTGTCGGAGTCAATAAAATCTTTCGATGGGTGTGAAGTCTGTGTCTCACTTTCTTTTTTCCAAGGAGATTTACTGAAGTCTATCATCTCTCTTTGCTCCATGTTCCCACCTCCCTTTTTTATTAAAGGATCAGTTCTCCACGTCTGCTAGACCCATTTCTGAGTTCTCTATTCTCTATTCATTGATCTGTCTATTCTTTCACTATTAAACTGTCTCAATTCTTTAGCTTTTTACTAAGTGTCGAATGTCAATACTCAGTTCTTTTCTGTAACAGGATCAGTTTTTGCCTTTTGTATGAACTTTTGAATCAGTTTAATCACATCTGTTAAGTCACTGACATGTTGAGTGGTTTTGTATCAACCATATACATCAAGTTGACAAGAAATGACATCTCAACAAATTTGTCTTCCCATCCATGAACATGAAATTGTTGCCTATTTTTAGTTCTTTTTGAGAGTTTGTGAAGGTTTTGTAAATTTCCTTGTGTCTTGTTATAAAATGTCTCATTTTGGTGCTAAAGAGTAGAGTCATATCATAGGATTGTGGAAGAGCTCTGAGCCTTTACAGTAATCTAAAATATGCATGCAGTGGTGCATATATCTATCATTGCTGCTTTTGCTTTATCCAAAACAAATTCAAAATATTTGAAAATTTTTTGTCTTCTTTGAACCATGGATTATTCAAAAGATTTATTTAATCTCCGGGTATTTAGACATTGCAAATATCTTTTTAAAATAATTTTATTGGTACACTTTAGATATACACAATGATCACATTCATTATAGGGAATTTGTACTTGTACATAATACATCTTGATTCTACTTTTTTTCCCTCAGTCCCCTTCCTTTCCTTCAATCCCTCTTCTTCTTATTTACAAAAGCTTAGCTTTTGTACAGGTGGTGCATGCCTGTAATCCCAGGACTCAGGAGTCTGAGGCAGGAGGATCGCTGTGAGTTCGAGACCAGCCTGGACTACATAGTGAGTTCCAGGGCAGTCTCAACTACACAGTGAGACCCTGTCTCAAAAAACAAAACAAAACACAACAAAAAAACAAAATCTGAGCTTCTACTATTTTTTCTAATTTTGTTCTTTGTCTTCCTTCCTTTCTCGCACCCATCTCCCTTGTTCCTTTTGCCATTTAAACATTTTCTTTTATTTCATGAAATGTATTATACATTTTTGTTGTTTATATACCTTTTTTGTTTCTTACACAAGAGAAATCATGAAATGTTTAAACATGGGTGTCTGATTTATTTCACTTAGAGAATGGACTCAAGGTGCATCCATACACCTAGAAATGTCCCATTTATCCTTCTTTATGGCAGAGTAGTACTCCAATGTATTGAAAAAACCATATCTTTATCCATTCCATTTATCCGTTGATGGGCATTTGGGATGTTTCTAAGATTTAGCTATTACAAACTGTGCTATTATAAAAATGGGTGTGCATATATGCCTGTGGTATGATACTTTTAATTCTTTTGGGATGATTCCAGGAAGTGGAATACCTGGGTCAAATGGAACCTCTAGTTTTAAAATATTTAAGAATCTCCACACTGATTTCTACAGTGGTTATACTGACCTACTTTCCCGCCGACAATGGAGGAGGGCTCCTTTTTCCCCACAGCCATGCCAGCATTTGTTATTGGTTAATTGGTTAATTTCTTTGTTATTGGTTGATAATAGCCATCGTTTTCTGGAGTGAGACAGAATCTCAATGTTGTAATTTACATCTCTTTTTTTTCCTCATTGAGTTTATTGGTACATTTTAGGTATACAGTACAGTTACATTCATTATTGGGATCTTGTACCTTTACATGACAGGTCTTGGTTCTCATTTTTTCCCCTTGTCCCTGCCCTCCCTTCACCCCCTCCTCCCCTTCCCATTTACAAACACTTTATTTCCATTTTTTCATTTTCTCATATTTTTTTTCTTTTCCCTTATTACCTTTCCCCTACCCTACCCCACACCTTTAGCCCTTTTCTTCCTATTTCACATTGTCAATTATCTCATTATGATCTTATGTACTGTTATAGTTTATTCACACCAGAGAAACTATTTGGTATTTACATGTGTGTGACTTATTTATTTCACTTAGGAGTATATCCTCAATATGTATCCATTTTCCTATGAATGAATATAAGTTCTCATTCTTTATGGCTGAGTAGTATTTCATTTTATAGAAAAACCACATCTTCTTTATCCAGTTTCCAACAGATGGGCAAGTGGGTTGTTTCCAAATTTTAGCTATTACAAACTGTGCTGCTATAAACATGGGTGCGCATACATCACTGTGATATGATTCTTTTAGTTCTTTTGGAAAGATACCCAGCAGAGCTATGGCTGGGTCAAATGGAACCTCTAGTCCCAGCTCTTTGAGGTATCTCCATATTGATTTCCATAGTGGTTGCACCAGCCTGCACTCTCACCAACAATAGGGAAGGATTCCTTTCTCCCCACAACCCCACCAACATTTGTTATTGGTTCATTTCTTGATGGCAGCCATTCTTTATGGGGTGAGTTGGAATCTCAGTGTTGTTTTCATCTGCATCTCTCAAATGACCAGTGATGTGGAGCATTTTTTCATATATTTACTTGCTGCTTTTACTTCTTTGTCTGAGAAATGTCTGTTCATTTCAGATACCCATTTTTGAATCGGTTCTTTATATTTGAGGGGGCTGACTGTTTTGAGTTCTTTATATATTCTAGATAATAGTCCTTTGAGGAGCAGATGGTAAAAATTTTTTCCCACATTATAGGTTGTCTCTTACTTTTGTTGATAGTTTCTTTTGCAGTGCAGAAGCTTTTTAAAAAGATGAGTTCCCAGTTGTGGATTCTTTCTGCTAGTTCCCATGCTACTGAGGATTTGTTCATAAAGTCTTTTCCTGTGACAATGTCTTGAAGAGTTCTGCCTAACTTATCTTCCAGCAAGTTTAGTGTTTCTGTTTTAATATTTAGATCTTTAATCCATTTGGATTTTAATTTAGTGCATGGTGAAAGATAAGAGTCTAGTTTTAATCTTTGGCAGGTTGAGATCCAGTTTTTCCTACTCCAGTTATTAAAGAGGCTTTCTTTCCTCCAGTGAGGATGGTCAGCTCCTCTGTCAAAGATGACATAGCTGAGTACATCTGGAATTGTTTTTGTGTCTTCCAATCTGTTCCACTGATCCTCAGGTCTGTTTCTTTGCCAGTACCATGCTGTTTTATCACAGTGGCTTTGTAGTATAGTTTCAAATTAGGAATTGTTATACCTGCTGCCATGTGTCTGTTACCTAGGATGGCTTTTGTTATTCTAGGTCTCTTCTGGTTCCAAATGAATTTTTGTATTCTTTTCTCTAGTTCTGTGAAATATAGTGTTGGAATTTCAATTGGCATTGCACTGAATCTGTATAGCAGTTTCAGTAGTATGGCCATTTTCACTATGTTGATTCTTCCTACCTAAGAGCTGGGGATATCTTTCCATTTTCTTGTATCCTCTTCAGTCTCTTTTTTCAGAGTGCTTTAGTTTTCAGTGTAGAAATTAGACAGTTTTTACAAATAAATGAAAAATGCCAATACAACATACAGGAATCTATGGGACACAGTGAAAGCATTTCTGCATAGAAAATTCATAGCACTGAATGCCCACAGTAGGAAAACAGAGTGAGGTCAAATAAACAACCTCATGATGAATCTTAGACTCCTAGAAAAACAAGAGCAAGAGAAACCCAAAGCTCAAACAAGAGAGGAAATTATAAAGATTAGAGCAGAAATCAATGCAGTGGAAACTAAGAAAATGATACAAAAAATAAATGAATCACAGAGTTGGTTTTTTGAAAGAATAAATAAAATTGATAAATGCTCAGCTAACCTTATCAAAAAAAGGAAAGAAATGGCTCAGATCCATGCAATCAGGAATGAAAAAGGTGGAGTCACAACAGATCCAACAGAAATCCAGAGGATCATTAATATCTACTTTGAGAACCTGTACTCTAATAAAATGAAAAACACAGAAGAAATGGATAGATGTTTAGATATTTATGAATTACCAAAGTTGAACGAAGTAGATAAAAACATTTTAAACACCCCCATTACAATCAGTGAAATTGAAAATGTAATTAAAAATATACCAACAAAGAAAAGCCCAGGTCCTGATGGATTCATGGCTGAAATTTACAAGACATTTAGGGAAGAACTACTGCCATTACTCTTCAAACTTTTCAATGAAATTGAAAGGGAAACAATACTTCCAAGTTCATTCCTGGAAGCAAGTATCACTTTGATTCCCAAACCAGGGAAAGATGCAACTAAAAAAGAGAACTACAGACCAATCTCTTTAATGAATATAGATGCAAAAATCTTTAATTAGATACTAGAAAATAGAATACAGAGGATCATCAAGAAGATCATACATCTTGGCCAAGTTGGATTTATTCCAGTGATGCAAGGATGGTTCAACATACTTAAGTCAATAAATGTAATACACTATATTAACAAAGTCAAGGACAAAAACCATATGAATTTGCATCTCTTGAATGATCAGTGATGTTGAAAATGTTTTTTATATATTTATTTGCTGTTTGCTCTTCTTTATCAGTGAAATATCTATTCATTTCAAATGCCTATTGGGCCTTTAAATTGAGGGGTGTTTGCTATATTTGAGTTCTTTATATACTCTGCATATTAGATCTTTGTCTGAGGAACAGATGGAAAAGAAGATTGTCCCTTCACTCTGGTAGTGGTTTGCTTTTCTGTGCAAAATCTTTTTAATGTGATAAGATTATAGTTGTTGATTCCTTGTGATATTTCTCATGTGATTGAGATTTTGTTCATAAAGTCTTTTCCTACACCTATGTTTGCAAGAGTTCTACCTATTCTGTCTTCCAGCAGATTTAGTGTTTCTGTTTTAATAATTAGATTTTTGATCCATTTAGATTTTATTTTAGCATATGGTAAGAGATATGAGTCCAGTTTTAGTGTTTGGCATGTGAAAAACCAGTTTTCCAAGCACCATTTTTTAAAGAGACTATCTTTCTTTCAGTGAGTGTCTTTGGCACCTTTGTCAAAGATAATGTGGCTGAGCATGTTTGGAGTTTTTTCTGCATCTTCTAGTCTTTTGCATTGGTCCTCAGGTCTGTATTTTTGCCAACACCATGCTGTATTTATCACAGTGGCTCTCTAATATAATTTCAAGTCAGGGGCTGTGATGCCCCTTGACTTGCCTTTGTTGCTCAGAATTGTTTTTGCTATTCTAGGTCTCTTCTGGTTACAAATGAGTTTTAGTATTACTTTTTCTAACTCTGTGAGGTATGCTTTGGCTGTTTTGATTGGGATGGCATTAAATCTGTATAACAATTTGAGAAGTATGTCCATTTTCACTATACTGATTCTTCCTACCAAAAAACAAGGAGTATCTTTCCATTTTCTGATCTCCTCTTTGATCTCCTTTTTCAGAGTACTGTAGTTACCAATGCAAAGATCTTTTGCCTTCTTCATTATATTTATTCCTAAGTATTTCATTTTTTTCAATGCTATTGTGAAAGGTGTGGATTCCTTAATTTGTCTCTCAGTGTTTGTTATTTGTTTACAGAAATGCTATTGATTTTTTAGTGTGATTTTGTATCTTGCTATGCTACTGGATTTGGTTATTAAATCTCAAAATCTTTTGGTAGATTTTTTAGCATCTTTTATGTAGAGTATCATGTCATGCACAAATAATAACTGAACTTTCTTTTATTTCCTTC